TCTCATTCTTTTGGTATGCGTAAAATCTCTGCTGAGTGGAGTTTCCTTATATTTCTTTGGTATGTCGCAAATACTGAGCCATTGCGAACTTTGGGAGATAGATTCGATGTATCTATATCTTCAATTTTTTGTGTAATACGTCGTGTTGTGGAATGGCTATTGTCAAGACTGGACGAAGAAATAAAGTGGCCAGATGGAAATGACGCCATCCTTGTAACATCGCAAAAATTCGAGACAAAACGAGGTATAAGAAAATGTATCGGAGCAATAGACGGTACACATATCGCCATTCGACAGCCTGTTGATCACCCTAGAGACTATTGCAACCGGAAAAGGTTCTTCTCTATAGTATTACAAGGTGTTGTAGATGCAGATATGAAGTTCACGAACATTTACTGTGGAGAGCCGGGTTCGCTGCATGATGCCCGTGTTTTAAGAAGGTCATTACTTTATGATACTGCTCAAAATAACATGGAAACTATTTTCCCTAATAAAACGTGTATAATAGGAGATTCAGCCTACCCATTGCTACCGTGGCTCGTACCACCATTCAGAGATAACGGTCATTTAACAGCACAACAGTCTGAATTCAATTTCTTGCACTCTTCGACACGGATGGCAGTAGAGAGAGCGTTTGGCTACTTGAAAGGACGTTTCCGTCGTTTAAAATTTTTAGAATTACTTGATATTCAATTCATCCCAAAATTAATAACAGCCGTTTGTATTATGCATAACATTGCTATAAAAGAATATGATGAGAACGAATTCTTTGCTGATGACATTAATGACTTTCTTGTAGATAATGCCGCGGACGAAAATTACGAAATTAATAATTTACATGTTAATAGAAATAGGAACGAAATGATAGATCGAAGAATACAGATGTTTCGCGAGCTTTTTCCAGAATAGTTAAAAGTTTTGCGTATATTATAATTTTTCTGTTTACTTAACTTGAAATAAGACTAAGAAAAAATACAAATTTGTATACTTTGATAAACATGGTATTTTTATTTATTCCTACCACAGCCTTTACAAACATCTCTACATAAAATTAAATATTTTGGTATCTGAAAGAACTTTTTAGATTATGTCTAATGACTTACACTTCTGCAACATTAATTTATTACATTTATTGTAATAAATGATATGATAAACTTTCAATATTTATATTAATCAAATTATATAATGTTAATCTATATTAGAATATATTTGGATTGTATCACTTATAAGAGGTACAATAAAATACAATAAAAAAAAATAAAAAATACACGCGACTATCACTCTTCAGTCTTCATATGAATGTCCATTTTTGCCAGCTTTTCCGCCTTTACGTATAAACATAAGAAAACAGGCCGGCCACTCGTTTATAGCCGCCATGGTTGGTAATTGTCACTAGAAAACACAAGTTTACACAGCCGACTAGTAGCCTCAGGCTGAGTACGGATGTGTAGTGTTGTGTCGACTGTTACGGCAATTGGAACGCAACTTGTGTCGCGGTGTGCACGAAAGTGTCTAGGGATATTGCAATTGGAAAGCACCCGGAGTGTACCCGGGGCCGCCCGTCACGCCGTTGGCGCGCACCAACG